TATTGTTATTGTCCGGAAAATATTTAATGTATGTTGATTATTGTTTAGATCTTCCTGTATTTTAATATCTATACAAATGTTATAAAAGATGGTAAATATGTTATATTTCATGGTTGTACAAGTTGTTTAGTCTAGGAATCCAGTTACTGTTATAAAGACTAATGCCCCGATTACATTTTGTCGTATCTGTGGAGCAAGATAGGGACATTTAAACGATAAAGCGGGTGGAGTAAGGCACGAACGTGTAATAGATAAGACAGGTGAAGTAAGACAAGGCCGTGTAACTATAAGCACAAGTGAAATAAAACAATGCTTCTCAACCGGGGTTCCACAGAGCCCTCGGGTTCCTCGACAGACATCTAGGTGTTTCGCGAGATATTGCGGTTTGCAAGAGTTCCACATATTCTAATACGTAAATACATACAAGTCATATAATTGGAATCCGACTACATAATATTTCTTTGTTAGTATAGTGGGTTTCATAATGACACAACATAACAACAATTCAATGCCCTGTTTTAAATTAGTGAGCAAGACTAGGTACAAACAGCTGCTAGTATTGCAGTAATGTTTTTTGTAATGAACGCTGTGAAAGGTTTCATGACACAAATTTGACGTCAGACATTTAAGAGTTACTTTTAATATGAACAATCAACAAAAGCAGTATGTGGGTTAAGGTGTCCATATTAAAAATTTTAAATGAAGTGGAGTAAGGATCTGAACATGTAACGGTTAGGTTAGTTTGGTAAAGTACATGCTGGTGGCTTACCGATGAGTCGGTTGGCTTTTAATGCTAAAAATTGGGTTTCGATACCCATGATGGTCAGAACACAGATAGTACATTATGTATCTTTTTGCTTAACCAAAAACAAACAAACCAACCGTAGGTTAAAGCACATAAAGTAATGTACTGAGATACAGAGGTTAAAGCTAAGTTAACCTGAAACTTTACTGACTGTGTGATCAAATAAAAAGAACCTATCCAATAGCCTAATGTTATTACTTTTCAACTTTTCTGCATAAAATCTATTGTTTGAATGTATACGTTTTAATGTATTTTTATGACTGATAGACTTGTTGATATGTATGCCTATTTGAAAACAACAATAAAATGATGTGTTTCTTCATGTTTACAGCAAACAGTTTCAATGGCCTGGACATAGCATCTCTTCTTTCGTTATGTTTAGTTGTCCTGATACCACAGGGATTCATATTAGGACTCACAAACTTCTTTAGACACTTCCCAATAAATTGTACCACCTACTTGAAATAATAAGCACTAAATCGTGAACAGTACATAAATACGAGAATATTTTATCTGTCGATGTTATTTCATGACAGATAGGAGAAGAAGAATTCTTAATTATAAGCTCTAGAATATTTCATAAAGTTTGTGTGGTTAAATAGGCGGTGTGGTAAGTTGTATAAAACTAGCTGCAAGATGTAGCAGTTATACTGCCATTACGCTTGTAGGGTTTAAGGAGTGGGCTGTCCGAACAGTACACTCGCAATCTGAGGGTCGTGGGCTCGAATCCGCGTCCCACCAAACATGCTCGCCCTTTCAGCCGTAGGAGTGTTATAATATGAATGTTGGTAAAAGAGTAACCCATAAGCTGGCGATGGATGGTGATGACTAGTTGCCTTCCCTCTAGTTTTTCACTGCTAAATTAGGGACGACTAGCGCAGATAGGCCTCGAGTAGCTTTGCGCGAAATTCCGAAAAAACCAAACCGAACAGTACAACGTCTTTGTATTAATTTCCTTTGCGCTTTTACTTCAGTAATGATTATTAGAGTGTACAACACTTTTAGTTTGTTACGATGCACAAAATGTTTTATCGTTTTTCACTCATTGCATAATTTACTTGCTTTTTTTATTAAATCAGAAATCACCGAAGGCATAAAGTTACTTGTATGTTTTCCAGCTATACAGAAATCTGACATCCAGAACATTTCACGCACTTATGGCTTAATGGTTAGGGCGCCCGACTCACAATCTGAGGATCGCGGGTTCGAATCCTCGTCACAGAACATGCTCGCCATTTCAGCTGTGGGGCGTTATAATGTGACGGTCAGCCCCACTATTCGTTGGTCAAATAATAGCCCAAGAGTTGGCGGTAGGTGGTGTTGACTAGCTGCCTTCCTTCTAGTCTATCACTGCTAAATTAGGGACGGCTAGCGCAGATAGCCCTCGTGTAGCTTTGCGCGAAATTCAAAACAAACAAATTATTGAGCCACAGAAACTACAAGAAGATTTAAGGAATTTAATAGAAATGATATAATACATCAAGCAACGCCAAGCGTTGTAGAAATATACCAATATGTTAGCACAGATAGCCCTCATGTAGCTTTGCGCGAAATTCATGTCTAACCCAATTCTAACTCTCGTACTTAACAACATTTTCTTAATGCAAACACAGCTTTCGCTTATACAGTACTTTTAATAAAGTGATGTCTATTATGCGAAATTTAATTTGAAAAACATAATTTGAGATTTCACGACGGTGCCGTCAGTAAAAGAAATAACTGAGTTTGTTGATCAGGTTTCTGCAACTTAATGTTAAAATATAAAGTTTCTTGGTTTGTTTTTTCGGATATTCACACAAAGCTACACAAGAGTCGCTCCTAATTTTGAACTGATAGGCTAAAAGGAAGGTGGCTAATCAACAACACTCATCGTCAACACTTGGGATACTCTAATCGTATAGAGTGATTTGATATTTACTCTTACAACTCACCCATGTTCCTAAGAGCGGAGCGCGATTTTTGGACAACAGGATACAAACCATGGATTCTTGTATTAACACGCTAACCACTAGACCACGTTAAGTTCAAGATATAAGAAAATGCTCGTTTTTGTTTTTTTTTTGCTATATTTTGTTAAGAAAGAATCAATGAATGTTTCGTGTCATTTAGATTGAAATATTTATTTTATCTTTTATGATAAAAATCTCATTATAGAGATCGAAACATCATTCGGCAGTATGCCGCGGGAAGATAGCACCCATTGAAGACTTAAAGCCAGTAATATCAAATGAAGATGAAGAAGATGAATGAATTGACTTTCTGTTCTGGCGCCTTGAGCGTCGTAATGGAGATGAAAAACCTTCATATGGAGCAAAGAATCCTACTTAGTATTGCATGCAAGGCATTGACTTTCTTGGCGCCTTGAGCGTCGTAATGAAGATTCTTTGGGATGGATGAGCTTAGGTTTGCAGCAACATGAAGAACTCTTTGATATTACTGTGCCTTCTATACAAGGAAGAGTGAAAAGAGCTTGTTTCATCTTGATTTGAAATCTGTCAACTGATAAATAGTCAAAGAAATTATGAATGCCCTGTCATATTGTGATATCCTAAGCATTCCTGCGCTATCTGCATTCACGGAATTCTATAGCGAAGAACCAATTGACGGCAGTTCACATGTTATCCAGTTTAATAGACAAAACGTTATTAAATGTTAATCACAGTTGATTACTGACTGGCATATTACTATTTCTTTTTACAGTCTAATAATGGTTTATTTTTATTTCCTACTATTCATCGTAAATTCAATATAATTTATTTTATGCAGACAGTAAGAGTTGAGACGTTGCTATTCAACTCTGTACCCTTACTGAATTTTCCACGACTGCTGACCGGTTTCTCATCTGCTTTTTGGATTTTGTTTGATAGATGGGATATCCCCAACGCTTTGGGGTTCTCTTACCACAAGCAATCTCCGTTATTACTTTTGGATAACGACCGGAAAGTGTGAAGGTTTTTTTTTTAAATATAGTTTTGAATTTATATTAAGTTCATTATTGTTTTATAGTGCTGATCTTGATCGCCTATTTACAATTAATGTAATTGATATAATAGTTTTGAAATTATACCTCTTATTATATATACATATATAACAAAATGTTAAATTATATTGAACTTACGATGGAAAATATACTATACTAGCTTTGAATTTTATAAAGTTCAACCAACTTTAATACGTGATAAGAGCTACAATATTACATTTGTTTCTCTACATTGTTCATTACAATGTATAATTTGTACTTGTTTATTATTGCCTGAGATGTCGTTTGTCATTCTGATAACAATAGATGTATAGAACCTGTTATTAGTATTAGTCTCTAAGAGAAGAACGAACGCCCAAAATATTAACCTGTAAGTGTATTTTATTATTTGTTTTAACAAATCCAACTACTATAGTTTATAACTTGTATGACTGCCTCTCGTACTTGCGCAATTAAAACAAACCTTTTGTTAAAGAAATGTGCAGAAACTATTTCATAACCCGATAATGGATCGTATTGAATTTTATGTGAAATTCGTAAGGACTAGAATACAATTTTTAATTTATTTATTTCAAAGTTTCAGTTTAAGAATCATGGTAAAGTATAGTATATGTAGTACATTCACATGTCAATAACGTCTCAACCACTGCTATGTCTGTCGTATCCCAGCTGGCCTAAAGAGCTCTGGTAATAGGTGAAAGACCTCGTCGGCACTGGCTATAGTAATTATTATGTGGTTGACATATTATTGTACACTCTATTTTTATCCAGAAACTTTTGTTAATAATTAAAAGCGTAGTCTTCTCCCGTTGACGCCATGGCCGTTTGACCCACTCCGGGATCAAGAAGACTAACTTACAGGTTCTCCAGTTTTTATGAATAGTGAGCAGGTTAATTCGAGAAAACGATAATAATAACTAATAATAGACAGTGTTAAAATAAATAAATCAGGTAGTATTAAATAATCATTACCCTAATTGTGATATAAATAAAGTTGCTGAAAATTACACTTCCCCAACTGAATCCAGTTCACACTTTACCAGTTGCTAATATAAATGGCATCTCAACCATTGCTATGTTTATCGTATCCCAGCTGATCTGAAGAGTCCTGGTCTGCACTGCTTATGGTAATTATAGTATGGCTTGATATATTATTAAACACTCTTTTTTACTTTTACTCAGAAGTTCTTATTAATAACATCTTGTTTTTCACAGCGCTATTGGCAAAACAAGAAAGATCTGGGATAAGAAATTCCATTGTGTTCGCGCCCGAAGACAAAAAATCCTGCAGGGAAACCAAGGGCGGCTTTGTAAGCGTAACATGGAACTTATGCCTTTGGTCGTAAATGCTGCCCAGGTGACCATGAAAACATGCCAGAAAACGTTTGAAGACAGGCGGTGGAACTGTTCATCTATTAGTGTTATTCCCAACCTAACCCACGATTTGACTGCAGGTATGCACGTTACCAACCGTTTGTTAATATTATATCGAGTTCTGTTATTTCAGACTTTTACCTGTAGCCATTCTTTTTAACTCATGTTAGCTTATATTCCAGCTTCGGATAAGCGTGTTCTCATACTCTCAATGTGTTATTTCGTATTATTACTTAAGTTACAATCTAACTTCATGTATGTATCTTATAACAATTTACATACGCGTTTAAAGTGTATATATGCGGCTTTAAGTACATACCTTGCAATCATATCTCTGTGTTATTTTGTTTTATTACTAACTAGATTAACATATTACTTGTAACCCTCGCCTTGAGTATCCTGTTTTTGTTACTTCTTACAATGATATAACAAATAACTGCAGTCATCCATCCTAAAACAAACCTCGCATGCTGTTACTCCCTTCCCCCAAAACAACAACAACAACAAACAAACACAGATTCTAACTTCAGGTTTCGCTGTTCCTGTGAATTAATCAGTGCTGTAAATGTTTGGAATAATACATAAGCTATTTCAAATACGCATAGTTTAGTTATCTGTCTGTGATATCTTGTGTCTATATTACTAAATTTACTTACTCTCAAATTTTAGTTATTTAACTTGTGATGATAAAAGGCCTGCTTTCAGGTAAGTATCATGTAATTACTTAACATTAGATTTTTTATGCACTGTGTCAGTGAATTTCAACTATTAAATGAACACTATCTTGCATTCAGACAATTATGGCATATTTGCTTTTTTCATCAACCATCTATTTAATATCGATAGTTTCAACAGCACATTTTGAATTTTCTTGTATAACTGTTATCGTAACATCTACAATATTTTCTACAACCTTGTTTTAATGCAGCTAGTTCATTTTTAAGTTGCTGGTCAACTTCATTGGTATCCTGCCTTACCAATTTTTTAATAAGCTCATGGCTTTGCTTTTCCATTTTTTTTTGTACTAATCTTTCAGTGCTTCTGTGAGTTTTTCTCTTACGAATTTTTACATCTTTGCTGAAATCTCTAAAAATGGTTTCAGTTTGTTTACGATTCCTTAGACTTATTAGTTTTTTCCTGTCATTCACGCTCTTAAAATCATATGTTATGTATTGCACTCTCAACTTGATTCGTTTGAGGTTGGTAAATGACTCACAACTTATCTGAGAAAGGCGATTATTGATACATTTTAGAAATATAAATAGCTTAATTGTAATAAAGTCGCCTGTACGGAAGTTCCTTATTCAATTAGACTTATACACCCAAGTTACACTTTTATACATGCGATAACCTAATCCAAAACGATCTCGATTCGAACTAGGCTTATATTCAGTCTATTTCTGGCTCTGGTTCAAAATATCACATGAGGAAAAATGATCTGGTATTCGTTGAATATCAAGACTACTCAGTGACAGTATTATAACACATAAATAGTAACTACTTTACTTTAAGGACTGTAAGCTTTCTTGCAGGTTATTATCATTAATATTGTCACAAATAACTACTTGCTTGAATCTTGAGAAACTCCGATTATTGACTACAACCTTTTAAAGCTTAAATTATTTCATAACTTTACTCATGAAATTTCATAAAAAGAAATAAAGTATTTTAATGATAAAGTATTAGTTAGTTAAGTTGTTCTTTTATTGTATTCCTTAAACAGGTTTGTTAGAAATTAACTAATTTTTACTTTCTTATTAAAACCTCTTTATGTTTTCAAAAGTTCATGAGTTACTTATCAATAAACACGTTCATAGCTCCTTAAATAACATTTAAAGTCAGGAGTTTGGCTGATAAAAAAATTACTGAAAATCTGAGAAGTAGAAAGTAATTTATAGCATTTTAATACAATAAAAAAATAAAATCATAAGTTTTGAAAAGGAAAATGTAGGAACGAAAATAGGAACCATATAAAAAGTTGGAGAAATGGCATAAATAAACAGAAGACTACATCAAAGAATGTATTTGTTCAATTGATAAGAATCATATAAGAGTTGGCGGTGGGTGGTGATGACTAGATGCCTTCCTTCTAGTATTTCACTACTAAATTAGGGACGGCTAGCGCAGATAACCCTCGTGTAGCTTTGCGCGACATTCGAAACCAAACCAAATCCAAAATAATCATATTCTTCCCCACCTCTTTGCAAAGGGATCGAATCCTTTGGAGTGCTAGTATATCTTAGGATGTCACATGAGTAATGTCAGAAAAAGCTAGTAACAACAATTTACTTGAGGCCTTTGAGCGGTAGGGGTCTTTAAGTATTTCCTAATTTCATGCTTTAGTTGGAAAAACTTTCAATTTTGACAACTGTAAAGGTTTCAACTGAAGTTCAATTATTATGTTGAATTTAAGGATTACTAATTAATTCCTCTTCAGCTCAGTTTCTTATCAAATTGAATTATATTTATTACCCAGTAAATTAGCTAGGTATTATCCCCCCCCCCCCAAAAAAAAACAACAATGTATGACTTCTGTCGGTTCCAAATCACGTTGTCAGCTCACTATATTGACTACTTGGTGTAGCATCATAAGACTGCTTCAACAGCTGGCACAGCTTACGACGTTATAAACAATATTTTCCGGTGTCTTCTACCACAATATTTTACTGTTGTTTATAAAGCATAGGGTTTTATATTTTCTTGAGATTAACTTTAGTAGCTTTATCACATACCTCCTTCATCAGCTAGTCTGGTTCAACATGCTTCAGTTTTTCCCTGAAGTTATTACTTTATTCATAGACAAAACAGTTGATAATTCTTTGTTTCGATTAGATGAGATTTTCCTAACGTTTTGTCGAAGTATCATTATATGCTCATAACATTTTTTGGCATTATCGATAACTTTTCTTTAACTTGTTTCACTTTTAGGTACTCGAGAGCAAGCCTTTGTGTTTGCACTAACGTCCGCTGCTGTTGGTCACACTATAGCACGCGCTTGCAGCTTGGGAACGTTTCTTTCTTGTAGTTGTGGACGCGTGCCTCGCGAACCACCTAACGGAAACTTCAAGTGGGGTGGATGTGCTGATAATTTACGTCACGGCCTTAAGTTTGCACGCTCATTTTGTGATAGTCCTTGGAGGCAGAAGAAGATAAAAGAAACAACAAAGGCTATTATGAATAGACATAATAACAAAGTAGGAAGGCAGGTGAGTAACAGAAGAACCTAGGATGCTACTTCTAATTCTGTAAACAACTGTATAAGGAAACCTTTGTTGTCATATGATGAAAAATTAGACAAACGGCATAACATTAAAGTTATCTCAGGTATCTCACGAATTCACTCTCTTCCTAGCTTAAGAAATATACTTTTGTACTAATAAGAGTTTTTTTCTTACAGGTATGTATTAAGTGCTACTCAGCATAGAAACCAGTTATGTAAAGAAAAAAAAAGACTTACTGTCAAATGGAAGTTAAGCTTATCGTAACGAATGAGACGAAGATGAAACTGGCACCAACTGCTTATCATGGATAACAAAATTTTATTGAAAAGGTAATAGTAACAATGAAGGCTAAAATGAAGATGTTTTACAAGTCTTCCATCTCCACGAAAGCAGTTGGTGCCAATTTTCACATTAGTTTCATCATGGATACACTGTCTAAATCATCACTAACATTAGTTAAGCTCCTTCTGAACATTTTGAAACCATCTTCTCTGTGCATATTACCATTACAGGATAGCATGGTGTTCACCGTATTGTTTTTTTAATATATTGAATAACTACAACAGTATTCACCATGTATGATCTCGTTCATTAATGACACCAACGAGGCTGACACTACGTATCATTTGCATTTCCTTATAATCGTATTGTGAACCCAACTAGAAAGTGATTCCATTAACGTTATAAAGGTTTAGCCCCCAGTGGCACAGAGGTATGTCTCCGGGCTTGCAACGCTAGAAACCAGGTTTCGATACCCGCGGTGAGCAGAGCACAGATAGTCCATTGTGTAGCTTCGTGCTTAACTACAAACGCACGAACGCATAAAGGATTATAAAAAAGTTTACTATCAGAAAACTAAGGACGCATCGCTTTTAAGGAAAACTTCTCATGTAATAAAGAAGTAATGAGACAGTACCTCAGTTTCCAACTATTATAATTGTATTTTATTTTAACATATAGAATTTGCTGTTTTTATAAACTATAAAGTCAGGAAAGCTGGGTCCAGGGGAGGGGATAATACAATTTCTCACTAATTTACGAGTAAGTTATTTAACAAGTAGATATTCAGTTTTTCACATTAAATGATTATTTGGTTTTTGGTTCATGTTTAGGTTTTGGATAGAGAAGTGACGCAAAATTTTCAAATTTACTTCCTTGATATTTTATTATTCTATTTTTTTTTGTGTCCCCCATTGGAACAGCGGTAAGTTTACAGACTTACAACGATAAAATCCGTGGCTCGATTCCCCCAGGTGGACACAACAGATAGCTCAATGTGGCTTTGCTCTGAAAGAAAGAATACTTGTTTTTGATACTCTTAAGCCTATTTACACGGTTGCATGGCCAGGTGGATAAGGCGCTCGACTCGCAATTTGAGGGTCGCGGGTTCGAATCCCCGTCCCACCAAACATGCTCGCCCTTTCAGCCGTGGGGGCGTTATAATGTGACGGTCAATCACACTATTCGTTGGTAAAAGAGTAGCCCAAGAGTTGGCGGTGGGTGGTGATGACTAGCTGCCTTCCCTCTAGTCGTACACTGCTAAATTAGGGACGGCTAGCGCAGATATCCCTCGTGTAGCTTTGCGCGAAATTCAAAAACAAACAAACAAACTTACACGGTTTTTCCCATCATGATGCCCTCTATTATTATTGACAAATTACAGCCTTCTCTTTCCATCCATTAGATCTCTGAATTTATCAGATACCACAAGCTTGGTGTTAAGTTCATCATGAAAAAACAAGCCTTTTATGGAAAGACGGTATTCTTGTCTCATTTCACTTACTCGTGTTCACACTGCACTCTTCCATCTTTTTTTTTTAGTACTCTCTTGCAAGAAATTCTGGCCTACTTAACAGCCTTACACGTAATGTTGACCTCTATATTTCAAATGACGAGATTAACACACTTTAGGAAGCAGAGCTTTCTTTTTCTGTTCATGCTGTTTATCGGATTACTCCTCGTAAAACCGGAGCGGTTATTACTTTTCTCAAAATTGTGGTCAACTCTGATCTGTTAGTAGAACATCTCTTTCACAAAGGCCTGTTTTTTGGATGCTTTTACTTTACAATGCAAAAAATAATACGTCTAACACACTGAACATCTCTTCATTCCGTGACAATTTATTTTTTTCCCTTTTAACACATGCTAAGCCAAAAATTTAGATATCCAGTAACATCCTTACTGTCAATTAGTGGAGACCGGGTCTTGTTGACCACAGAAGCAGGTTGACACAATGCCTATAGCTTTCATATGCTGAAGTTGGTAGCCTTGATATCATGACTACTAACACATCGAAACACGTATCACTTGCTGTTTTAGTTTCATCGTTATCTGTCGTGTGTAGGACTCCTGTCTCTCTCCACTTTGACCATTTGCTTTAACATACATCTGGTTAATTAAACAAATGTTTATTACTTTCCTGGTTCTTTATAAAAGTTCGCTGTGATTAAGTCTTCGCTTTTCATTTTTTACGTGTCAAATGAGCACCTTTGGCTTCAACTTAAACATCTGCCAAGCAGTTTAGTTAGTTTTCACTCCAAATGCCGGACATAGCAACAGCACTGTTTCATTACTAGCAGGTTCTCGTTCATTCTTTTTTTGGGGGGGGGGGAGGTCCTTCTACGTTACATGATGATATTATGTGCAATAGCTAGTATTGACACATTGTATATAGTTTACAGTTAGTCTTCTAACATTGTTCACAAAACGTATCATATTTTTTTCAGGCAGTCATATCGTACTACGGAAATCACACAGTATGTGTGCACCATGTTTTCAGTTATTTTAATACTAAAACTGATCACTTCTTCATAAGGCGCGCAACCATGAGTTTTTAAGAAAAAGGCTCACTCTAAATCCACCAACTTATAAGTGATATGTTACAACTGATAAATTTCTTTTGTACATACTATAATGGTTACTGGGCGAATAACGAAAACGTGTTTCTCATTGTTTTCAAGTAGTTCAGACTAGAGATAAGTATTCATCTATATAAATACGACTTTTCTTACTATACATATAACTTGCACAAATGTTAAAAGTTTATGACTAAAGGGAGGGATCGAGCTCCCAAGACCTTCCTTTTGTTGCGCACATGGTTCTTTATTTTGCGAAAGATAGCTAGCAATATGATATCCTGAACTCAAACTTACTCACTTATAATTTATTTCTATATTATTCAAGACTCAGAAGTATTTCTAAACTTTGGTTATAAGTAATCTCGATCGCTTGAAACCAGTACTTTGAAGAACGTAGCATTTATGTGGCAACTTTCAACTTTAAGATATAAATGTCTTCTCATTAATTTGTTTGACCATAGCATCTTTAAAGATAACCTTCTCAGCTTGTTGGCACGTGTATTCTCATCAGAATACGCAATGGTCATTTTGCAATTACTTTTTTGTGATTGGTGGAAACAAGGGAGGGACACGATACCTTCTTTGTGACTTGGTCTAAGTTTTTTGCCAGTCTCGTCAAGTCAACCTAGTTCCGGCTTTCGGACAATTAAGTGTTGGAGAATCTCACAGTTTTGTCCAAATGAAATGTAGTTCGCTGTTACTAAATGTAGTCGAGTATGTGGTTTAGTGTTTATTTTTCTGTCTTTCTTTTGTGCTATTGGTCTGTTAGAGATATATATATGTAGAGTTAGAGAACCAAATGCACATCATTTATGTTGATTTTAATATGAATTTCAATCTTGTGTCTAAAAATGAGTCTAAAATAGCCACATTGTTCAGCTACACGATGATTATCACTTTTATCTTTAAAATCTATAAAATAATACCAGTTGAATCCTATCGTTTCTTTTGCTATTGCGGGGTTTGCCTGTGTCTAATTCTCTAAACGAGTGTACAACAGTAACAACTACTCTTAAGAGTGATCAATTATTTCTCTTCTGACTTGTAGCTCTTATATAACCACACATTCTTAAGCGTATTGGAGTATTTGGCTATTCATAATGATTATACATGTACAAGGTCGTCTGTCAACAAATTAGACCATATATATATATATATACATATATATATGATTATACATATACGGGTCACCTGTCAACAATTAGAGAACTGAACAGATTTTATATATGAATAGCCAAATACTCCAAAACGCTTAAGAATGTGTGGTTATATAAGAGCTACAAGTCAGAAGAGAAATAACTGATCAGTCTTAAGAGTAGTTGTTACTGTTGACAGCTCAAGTGTCATGATGTAATTGTTGACAAGTGATCCATATATGTATAATCATACAGCTCAAGTGTCATAATTCAATTGTTGACAGGCGATCCGTACATGTATAATTATTAGAGCTGATACGATAAGTATCTAGATACAAAAGTTTTATGAACGTTTGTTGCAAAGTTTGACAGTCTTGTCTGTAATTTATTATCTATGTTACTAACATTGTTTTGCTACAATTTGAAGTAATTCTAGAAAGAAAAAAAGAATAATTTTGATTTATTTTGTATTTTTTATGGTGTTTACGAGGCTGGTCAAACTGACCGACTTCACATAAAATTAGGGTATTGAATATAGCAGATAAAATATGAAGATTTCTCGAAAAGTAAGTTGGAAGTTTATTTCGGAGATTTTAGAGATTACACAAAAGAAATTTTTAATTTTTAGATGGAGAAAAGTATTTTTAATCTTAACATAAAAATCGCTTTACAATCGGAGCAGTGACTACTTTGACACCATATAACAAAACATTAATTTTTTAGCAAACATACTTTACTAGAAATTTTGATTTTTTTCTGTACTAAAGACTTATAATGTTTACTGAAAGCTTGCCAAATTTCGTGAAGATATATAAATCATATTCTATCGTATCGGACGATGTATCGATACAATCGTATCACGGCTTCACGATACGATACTCGTATCGTATCGCTGTATCGTGCCACCCCTAATAATCACACAGCGCAAGCGTTATGATGTGTCTGGTTATCCTAATATGAAAACTGATCATTTTATTTTCTGACAGATAGCTCGTAACAGTGTGACTACACAGTGTAAGTGTCACGGTGTGTCTGGCTCTTGTAATATAAAGACATGTTGGAGGGCTCTTCCGAAGCTTCTAGAAGTGTCTGAGTTCCTAAAAAGGAAATATTACATCGCTACAGAAGTTGTCAGCCAGAGGAGAGGGGAACAGCAAAAACTGATTCCAGCCAATGGTCAAATGGGAATGTATGGGAAGACCGATCTGATTTTTATCACCAAATCTCCAGATTACTGTCTACCTAATTCAAAAGTTGGATCTTTGGGCACTAGAGGGCGGTAAGTCGAGATTCCTACTACGCTTATGAAACTAATTAATTAACACGTAACTAATTTCAAATATAAAATCCCTTTTTTAGCTTCATGTTATTTTGTGACGTACGATCCATATTTTTATATTATAATTCTGTAACGAGATTATATTCAAACATAACTTTGTAGGGTTTGATATTCTTACTTGTAAAATCCAAATCAATAATTCTAATTTACATAACAATTTTGTTTTAACAGCGTCCCTGAATAAAATCGTTTTCGTGCTGTTTGTAGATTATGAAAGGTTTAACCTGTTGAAAATCCCCACTAATTGTCAATTGGTTAAATGTAGTTACAGATATTTTTAGTTAAGACGTTTTATTTTATTATGAACAAACCAATTCTTCTGCTGTAAAATAGTTTCATTTGAGCTTTATACGTACTAGTTAAGTAATAGTTTTAAGCGTACTTGTGTGGGAAGTCGAACAGATGTAAGGGTGTGAGAACGCTGTTTAATGTAGCAATGGTTTAAGTTTATTGAAGAGTAAAAAGGAAAAAAAAGAGGGACCCAAAAGGAGTTGTACGTAATTTATTTTAGGCCCTGTTTACGTAACCTAATTCCCACAAACAAAATACAGTATTACATTTTACCTAATTTTGGATTACAAGATGAAAATATTTGGTTCTCAATTATTTAATATCCATGGTGCTGCATCTTTTCTATGTTGTTAAGAGAAAAAATCATGTCTTATTATCCTATTGTCTTTCCTTGTACCTACTGTTACCAAATATTGCCCTGCAATAGCGTATTAAAACAACAAATACATCTGTCACTCTTGTGGATCGTAATATGGTACCAAAAATAATTATGTAGTGGTAATTTTAATGACGTAAAATATACATCTGAGACGTTATTGAGACAGATAACACAACAAGTATTTAAAATGACCATTATTGTATATCAACCATGATGTAATGTTTATGATAATTAACATTTGTTTTATAAGATTTTTCTTTGGTCGTTTCTTTCCGTTTTTCTTAAAGGTTTGTTATTACTTTTTGTCACTGATTTGTATTTAACATATGACCAACGCAAGAGTGTATGCAGGTTTCGAGACTAAAGAATGTAACGTGATGGGGGAAATATTTCAAATGTTATCAATCATTATTATTATTATTATTATGACAGACGAGGAGGTTCGTACTTCTGTTTGACAAGGCATAAAAAGAACTTCAGGTGATGAAGATGTCTTTTCTCACTATCGTTCCGATTGGTGATTTTGCGACTTTTGTTATTAGCGTTACAATAGATAGCCGTGTCTTCACGTTTTTATGAGAAGGTTTGCCAGCGGCAAAATGGTTTAACCAATCCGGAGAATACATTCCTCTTTATCTAATTCTGCCTTCAAGGTAATGGTAACCGAAAATAATGAGCGTTTTCATTCCAGGCATTACATAAACTGAAGACAAGACTCCATTCTTGACGTTTCTCAAGCGAAAATTTCTTGCTTCCGTTCAGCAGGTGTTTTAATGAATGCAACCAGGTGCAAGCACATTTAGTGTGCGTTGTAAAAAGTAGGCCTAGGTAACATTAGAACCAATATAATCAACTACTTTCTTTCCTTTTTTTATTCTTCTCCTTTAGCATCAAGTGCACAAACGCTATTATTGCATTCTTTTGTTCCAATTGAAAGTTTTTGAATTAACTCGCAGGTGTTCCCGAGAGAAATATGTACTATCTTGTCGAATATTTGAACACTCATTAATACAATCCTTACTGTCAGATGGGAAGCCAAAAAGCTTAAAATTGCTATACGGATTATGTATACAGAAGCAAGCTAATTGTGTCATTTGACTTATAAGCATTTTCTTTTTCATTAACAGACTGGATTCACTAAGTACATCCAAGTTTGTTTGTTTTTTTCTAGCTTAATCAGACATGTCAAAAGCATGTTCGTATTTTTCTCTGACCTTGAATTCTTATACCTTAAAGTGTGCTATAAATGTTCGTATGAGCCGTAAAATATATAACAACTCATCGTGCAGAGCCACAAAATTTAAACAAACTTGGCGGGCTGCAGAAGTACAGCATTTATTCGAGCGTGGTGGGCTACAGAATTATCACATTGTTGAAGCTTTGTGAGCTACAGAACTCTTAAATCTTATTAGCTTGTTCAACTACAGAAATATAATTTTACAAGCTTGGGGTAGTAGAGATTGACATCATTTTTAACATATTGTTGATCAAAAGAAATACAACATTTTTAGATGGTTGGTCGATTACAGAAAATGTATCACAAACCCAGGAGAAGACGTATTATCAGTGTACCATCTTTAAAGTAAAGATATGTATTATCAACGTAATATCACTACGTTATTGATACCAGACTTATCTGAGTATATTATCATGTAGCATCGCTAAACTTTGATCATATGTATATTTTCATTAGATTCAGATTATGTATATTCATTTTCTCAGTATATTCTGTGATCCAGTTTTGTATTCTATTTCTTTTATCCTGTTTGGACAACTTTAATCTTTAAAGTTCGTCATTTTAATTGTATTTTTTGTCTAATTTATGTCTGAAATTTTAGAAGAACGACAACTGTTGATTATTCTAGGAATATAGTTACATTCATAGTTGTCTGCATACTTTTTTAGCATCGCCCGGCATGGCCAGGTGGATAGGGCGCTCGACTCGCAATCTGCGGGTCACGGGTTCAAATCCCCTTCACACCAAACATGCTCGCCCTTTCAGCCGTGGGGGCGTTATAATATGACGGTCAATCC